TTTTGAATAACACTATATTCCATTGTATTCCTGCTTTATTATTATTATCTTGGTTATACCCCACACCTGGTTTCTGTAACAAACTTTTTAAGCTTTACTTTATTCACGTTACTTTTTTTTCAAGCTCTCGATTCCAACTCCTCGATCTCGATCACACTATTCTTTGTTCTTAAGACTTTACAATTAATTCTATCGATATTAGTATTCCGTAGTTTTATACACAGTTTACACTCAGTATTTTATGTTTTACACTTAGTTCAAAAAAATTATAAGCAAATTAATAAAAATTTACAAGACTAATAAAAAATGGAAAAATATCAAAACATGTGGGCAGTTTCGGGCGGTTTGTGGGCGTAAAAGTGGATGTGGCAACAATATTTGCTGCAACTACTGCGTCTATCTCGATCTATACATCTCGATGTATACAGACGAGCATATCGACTCGGCTATTGATATGATATGACTATTTTTAGTCGGAAACGCTTCCTCTTGCCTGTTACATACTCTACCTGTAATTGTCCCCAGTTTTCCAGAAAATTGCCTCTTCTATAGTATTAAAATCCATGCCAAGAACTTTATGAGCTTTATTAAGAATAACAAAACTGCCAAAAAACCAAAAATGTCATAGAAATTGTTGGGTCTTGCAACAGCCAGCACTTTCTAAATTTGTTAAGTTTAGAGACAGAATTACACTCTACTGCACCTCAGCTGAGCGATAATCTTTCGATACCTCGCTGTCTCTCTCATTTTCTCTCCCGCATGCACCTTTTGCTTATCGTTCTTCTGTTCGTTCCGCAAATCAGTCACTAAAACACGCATTTTATAAAAAATAGGTAAAGAAAAATCCTATTAGCCCAATATTTGGGTATTTCTGCGTAAGTTTCTGCGTAAGTAATATAGTGCAAATCATACAAAGCTGTTTAAAGCTCTAAATTTAATAATATCGCTGTTGTTGTAGGGTCAAACAACCGTGAATACTGTTTGCGGTCATCTTCCCGATTGCCGCTTTCTTATTACTGCTGCCATGGCTGCTGAAATTCTGGAAACTTTACCGCTGCCGCAAAAAGGGTGACATGTTTAAAGGGGGCTGAAATTTTTAATAGAGTGGAGCGGTTAGCGGATTCCTTATCAAGCTCTGCGCTAACTTCGTTTGACGATTTCGACCTGCATGGTAGGTTAGAGCTGATTGATGAGCTACAACAAACATTTAAGAAAATTCTCAACGTGCTCGAAGAACTTGAATTTGACGAAATTAAAAGTAATGAGTGAAAAATTTGATGATGTTCTCGTAACGCTTATGTCCACAGTGCGGGGGAGAAGCTGACGGCATTTCTCCGTGCGATTGTGCCCATCAGTAGTCTTCTTTTGAATTTCGCGGCTATGTACAAAGCGCTACAGAGCTCGTATCTGGCAATACTGTACATAATTTGAAAGGTGACATAACCTACAAAACGACGCTATGCATGATATTGCGTTCAACAGTTATAGACGTGTACACATGGAGTTCACTAACGCCGAAATTCGCGCTATTTTAAAGTTTTCCTTCGTTAAAGGCAAATCCGCTAGAGAAACGTTCCGTGAGATTAATGGTGTTTTGGGGGATGGTACTCTATCACTCTATCACTTCGAACCGCGGAGGAATGGTTTCGACGATTCAGAGCCGGTGAAAACGACACCATGGATAAGCCAGCCGGCGGAAAACCTGTGACCACAAATACCGATCAAATCATGGAATACATCGAGTTAGACCGGCATGTGGCATCTCGTGACATCGCCCAGGAGATGGGAGTTAGTCACCAAACCATTTTAAGCCATCTGCAGAAGGCTGGATACAAAAAAAAAGCTTGATGTTTGGGTGCCGCATGATTTGATGCAAAAAAACCTTTAGGACCAAATCAACGCCTGCGATATGCTGCTGAAACGGAACGAACTCGACCCATTCTTGAAGCGGATGGTGACTGGCGACGAAAAATGGATCACATACGACAATATCAAGCGAACATGGTCGTGGTCGAAGGCCGGTGAATCATCCCAAACAGTGGCCAAGCCGGGATTGACGGCCAGGAAGGTTTTGCTGTGTGGTGGGATTGGAAGGGAATCATCCACTATGAGCTGCTCCCATATGGCCAGACGCTTAATTCTACCATCTACTGCGAACAACTGGACCGCTTGAAGCAGGCGATCGACCAGAAGCGTCCAGAATTGGTCAACAGGAAGGGTGTAGTGTTCCACCAGGACAACGCCAGACCACACACTTCGTTGATGACTCGTCAGAAGCTACGGGAGCTCGGATGGGAGGTTTTATCGCATCCACCATATAGCCCGGACATATCGCCAAGTGATTACCACCTGTTCCTGTCCATGGCGAATGCCCTTGGTGGTGTAAAGTTGAACCCAAAAGAGGCTTGTGAAAAGTGGCTGTCCGAGTTCTTCGCAAATAAGGAGGGGGCTTCTACGAGGGAGGTATTATGAAGTTGCCGTCTAGATGGAAACAGATAATCAAAAAAAAAAAAATGTTGAACTAAATCCGATCACTGTTACACTTTTTATAAAGCATTGAATAAAGAGCAAAAAAGCGGAAGGGAGATATTTGACAACATATTATCTCGATTCCAAAATCAGCTTGTTCTTAAGAAGATAAAGTCATCAACATATTGTACCCGAATAGGCGACTAGGAGAATGAGACAGATAATTCATCAGTAAATATTTCAATGCGATTTAAATACTCGACCGACATCACTGCCGTTATTGCCTCCAATATTATCGAAAGTCAGCCCTGTATAAGCATTGACATTTGCATGTGGAACATACCCAAAAATTACAATGGGCGAAGTACCTCTGCTATTATGGCATTAGTTTCAATTTATTTTTTAACTACAATGTAAATGTTTACATTTGAGTTCTTCATAGTTATGTATTTTGGGCTAGCCTTTGAGACCGTAATTTGGCCACCAAGAATTATGTAATATTAGTTTGGAAAATATCTCCCTTCCGCCTTTTTGTCTTTTGAATTTCGCGGCTATGTACAAAGCGCTACAGAGCTCTTATCTGGCAATACTATACATAATTTGAAAGGTCTTGACATAACCTACAAAACGACGCTATGATTAGTTTGGATATTGCGTTCAACAGTTATAGACGTGTAAGCATGGAGTTCACTAACGCCGAAATTCGCGCTATTTTAAAGTTTTCCTTCGTTAAAGGCAAATCCGCTAGAGAAACGTTCCGTGAGATTAATGGTGTTTTGGGGGATGGTACTCTATCACTTCGAACCGCGGAGGAATGGTTTCGACGATTCAGAGCCGGTGAAAACGACACCATGGATAAGCCAGCCGGCGGAAGACCTGTGACGACAAATACCGATCAAATCATGGAATACATCGAGTTAGACCGGCATGTGGCATCTCGTGACATCGCCCAGGAGATGGGAGTTAGTCACCAAACCATTTTAAACCATCTGCAGAAGGCTGGATACAAAAAAAAGCTTGATGTTTGGGTGCCGCATGATTTGACGCAAAAAAACCTTCTGGACCGAATCAACGCCTACGATATGCTGCTGAAACGGAACGAACTCGACCCATTCTTGAAGCGGATGGTGACTGGCGACGAGAAATGGATCACATACGACAATATCAAGCAAAAACGGTCGTGGTCGAAGGCCGGTGAATCGTCCCAAACAGTGGCCAAGCCGGGATTGACGGCGAGGAAGGTTTTGCTGTGTGTTTGGTGGGATTGGAAGGGAATCATCCACTATGAGCTGCTCCCATATGGCCAGACGCTTAATTCTACTATCTACTGCGAACAACTGGACCGCTTGAAGCAGGCGATCGACCAGAAGCGTCCAGAATTGGTCAACAGGAAGGGTGTAGTGTTCCACCAGGACAACGCCAGACCACACACTTCGTTGATGACTCGTCAGAAGCTACGGGAGCTCGGATGGGAGGTTTTATCACATCCACCATATAGCCCGCACATAGCGCCAAGTGATTACCACCTGTTCCTGTCCATGGCGAATGCCCTTGGTGGTGTAATGTTGAATTCAAAAGAGGCTTGTGAAAAGTGGCTGTCCGAGTTCTTCGCAAATAAGGAGGGGGGCTTCTACGAGGGAGGTATTATGAAGTTGCCATCTAGATGGAAACAGATTATCGAACAAAACGCCGCATATTTGAACTAAATCCGATCACTGTAACACTTTTTATAAGGCATTGAATAAAGAGCAAAAAAGCGGAAGGGAGATATTTGCCAACCTATTATATTTCTGAACATAGTATATTATTCCGTTTTAGTTTCCGCTAATAGAAAAATAGAAAAATAGAGATTTTTCTCGATACTTATAGATTATTATGTATACTTTCCTGACCCGTATAAACTTAAGTCATACATAAATAGATAGTTTTTCCTTTTCCTAACATTTTTCATTTTTTTTTTAATTTACCTCCGAGAAAGGAAAAGAATAAATAAATTAACAACGGCCCATATTCCGGTTTCCAACGTTCCTACACTGCCGCTAACTCATGGAAGCTATTTTTAGGCAGATGTCATATTAAAAAAAAAAAAATTCTGCATTATTTTGAAAATACTGAAAATTTTTTTTTACAATTTTGATGAGTAGTTTTGTAAAGGCCTAGTATTCAGGCGACAAATCGGACGTCCAATAAAAAAAACTTCATATAATAATGCACAACATTATTGGTGGATAGTCACTTCTTGTTTAAATTGAATTAAATCTGAAAATATATTTTAATCATTCCCAACTAATGTTGCAGCAACAATTTGTTTTTTTAAAATGTTTTTTAAGAATGTCAATTTTTAAGTTCTTAATAGTTATGTATATTTCTTTTAGCTTGGGAGACCAATTATTTGTAACCAAGAAATATATGACTGAAAAAAGTATATTATTTTTGGTCCAGTTTCTGTTCGCCTGAGTACTGAGCATAAAATTTTATCATGAATGTCTTCTTTAGGTTAAAACAGGACAATGTTTTAAAGAAAAACTTACTGCTTGAAGGATTCTAAAATTGTCCCGCTCTTGAGTGGTATTTTCTAAGTTACGTTGAAGCATCATTTTTTCAGAGTGCACTGACTCCAACTGTTTTTTAAAACTATGCACTTCGCGTTGTTTTTCGTGTAACTTTTCCGTAAGATCATTAACCTGGCTGGTCTTCAGCGATATTTGGTCTGAAACGAAATTTTATTTAGAGATATTTCATGTAATAATAGAGTTGTGCAATATCATTTAATTTTTAAACAGATTTTTTAGATTCGCTTTAAATTATGTAATTGCAATATTCGACTTTCCCTACTATCAGATACACGTTACTTAGATAGTGGTGGAATAGCGAACTAGAAAAAAATTTTAAAATTTTTTTAAATATGTTGGCGTTAATGTTTTGTCCGGTTTGTGGGCGTAAAAGTGGGCGTGGTAAAAAGTTTTTTGGTAAATCTGTAAATATTTACAAAATATAAAAAAAATTAAAAAATATCACAACATTTTTCAAAAATGTGGCTGTGACAGTTTTGCGGGGTTTGTGGGCGTTAGAGTGGGCGTGGAAACATTTGGAAACTTTTTTTTTTCTTCTCTTTTTATTTACAATCTGTCTTAAGTAAGTTTTATAATTAATGTTAAATCAACAGAGGCAGTAGTAATAGTAGTAAGCCCTACTACATACTCTATGCATAACATGTTTTTATACTTAATACCTGTCAGGGAGATCTAGCACGTGAAACCTTTTAAGTCTTCTGACGTTGTTATTATTATTTGCCAATCTTAAGGCTAAGTCATTTCCATTGGTTCTTAGTCTGTCTATATATTTTTTACTATGTTTTGCTATTTCTTCTTTAACATAAGGGATTCCTAAGTCTCTATAGATACTTGCATTTCAGAAATAAAATGGAGTATTAACAATTTGTCTTAATATTTGTGATTGGTAGCGTTGTAGAATCTCAATATTTGCTGGCAGTACTATAAGTCCACACGGGCTTTAGTATAACTTTACATAAACAGACAAGCAACCAGGTCATCTTCAAACTTTTAAATTTAGTTGCTGACGCATTGCTTTTATATTTGTTTTTCCTCGTTAGTCTGCGATCGTGGTGCAAGCCAAGGTAATATATTATGCAATTACTTTCTGGGCACTTTACTTTGTACAGGGTGTACAGGGTGTATATGACAGGACCTAAGACGCTTGCTTGTGGGACTCCAGCTTTTATAAAAGGCGAGTATTCATTATTTTGTTGCACGTAAAAGTGTCTATTGGTTAAGTATGACTTTAATAATTAAAAATATGGATGGTAACCACTTTTTGATTTTATATAAGCCGTCATGCCAGACTCGATCAAACACTTGTTGAACGTCAAGAAATGTTGCAGTGCAGTATTTTTTGCTCTCAAATGCTGATAAAATTTCATTTATAATCCTGTGACATTGCTCATGTGTTCCGTGGCTTCTTCTGAATCCAAAAAAGGTTGGCAACATTCTCTCTAAAAGTATTTTTTCAAATACTTTAGAAAATATTGACAACAAACTAATGGGATGATGTCACTTCATTTTCTGCCTTGTTTGGTTTAAGGATCATTATAATTTCTGAACATTTCCATTGGCTTGGGAAGTGGTCAACTCTTAAGATCGCATTACATATCAGCGTAAGAAATCGTATACACTTTGGTGGTAGATTTTTCAAGGTTATGCCATCTATTTTGTCCGAACCTGGAGCCTTTTTACTATTCATTTAATTTCTGATGAAACTTCATTAATACCGATTTTAAGAATGGGTAAGCTTATTTGGCAGGGTAACTCGAGAAAATTATCTACTTCCCTTTCTGCTTGCGAGTTATTAATATCATTTGTCTTAAATACAGAGTGTTTACATCACGTTTATCTGCATAATGCAGATTCAGACATCTGGATATGGCGGACCAATCCAACGGCACATTATAAGATTCTAGTACCGCGTATGCGTGACCTGTTACTTTATTTCTTATGGTATGCAGGATACCGAAATATTTGTAGCTGCCCCTCGTTGCCTTGTATGCACTCAATACTCTCTCCACTGCCTTTCTCCATGAATTAAATTCGGTTCGGTTACCAGAAAATTCTCGTAAGCACTTAACTACATCAGGAACTTTATCGAGGTCGTTTAAATTTTGTCTCAAGTCCGGTCTAATCGTTTCGTCAGTCGAACGCGGGAATCTGCTCCTGCAATGTTTCTGCCACTATGCTGGTTATCCAGTTTTTAAGTTCATTCATGCCTAGTGTATTGCGTTGACCTGGACAACTCGCGTTGGATGGAGAGTGTTGCGCGTTTTTCCTTTCTCGAGGAAGGAAAATTTGCTTATTTAATTTATTATGCTTATGAAATTCTACAAAAAAATTTGTTTTGTTTTAAATTCCGGAATTTATTTTCTGTTTTATTTTTTTTTAAGATTCTTAATATTTTGTTTTAAAAATTTTCTTTATTATTTTTTTTTTAATCTTATCTTACATTAAAATGTTGATCTGCATCCTTTCCGGTGGTCCAAATGTACTCCGTTTTACTCTTTGGCTACTTGGGATCCGGTAGCACACACTTCAGTTGGAGGGCGAGCTGCGGTCGTACCTTACAACTCAGAACAGGATCTACTCCGATCTATTATTTCCGGGGTGGTAGTTTTAATTTTTTATGTTGTTTATTTATGTTTATTTTTTATTGTTGTATTTCGCGTCGACCGTCAAAACCGTCATTATGCAGAATCTTTTCAGCACTTAACACGAACTTAGTTTTATTGTACGCGCCTGACGGTCCCTGTTCGGGCGCCAGTTAAAAAAACAGATATTTTTTTTTTAATAAGAAATATTTTCTTTATTTGAGCGATCAAAGACCGTGCGTTTTATTTGATTATAATTTTAATACGAAATTATCGTACCCTAATCTGGCCCTAAGAAAACGTTGTCGTGTCGGTCGCGGCAGAGGCCTCGTTTCTGAAGAATCGCGGAAGTGTCGCAGACGCTAGGTCAGCAATTTGGACAAGTGCATTATTATTATTATTTTTGGAGCGGATGCTCGTGTGGTGGAGCGGACGCTTGTGTGATCATGGATCAGCGTTTTGGCCAAATTCATTGCATTTCGTAGCGGGTGTCAGGTGACTTGAATTTATGTTTTATTAACTTTTTTTAGGGAGGCATGTGCTTAAGTCTAAGGGACTTATGGAGGGACTCCCCCAACTATTTACTTTGGTCTGTCCTCAGTGCGTTAAATTATCATGATATTGTTTTCGGGCTGAGTGTGTTCCTTTAAATTGGTATCTAGGTTCGAATATTTTTCATTTTGCTTAGATTATTTTACAATAAGTAAGAATATCCCAATGTTTAAACTTATATGCTATATACAGAGTTAAGATAAGAATAAAATAATAAAGAAAGATGTAACACTGTAGTGCTTTACATATAAATGAGTTTTTTTTTCTAATTTTGTAACATTATTGATAATATAAATCGTGTGCGTAAAATCTGCTAGATTGTTTGAAATTAGGAATTCAACAATTTGGATTGAACGATTTTTAATCCTTACAATGCTATTTCCTGATATTACAATTTTTTTGTTAGTGCAGTCTTGAATAATAACTGTTTGTGGTAGATTCCAGTAATCAGTATATTCAGTTCAATGTAATTCATTTGAAATGTTACACTGAGTCTCCCTTGTTTGATTAATCCATACACTTGTCAATTATTGCCTTCTCTGTATTCTTATTGTATACTTGATTATTGAATATATAGAATTTATCACTTATTTGCTCAGTTAGAAAGTAACCATGCTCCTCTGGGTAATTTTTTTTAACAATTTCGGTTTAAAGCTTCATTAACTGCATACCCAATTCCCAATCCACTATATATACTGTAAATTGTTGACAATTGATTATCAATATCGCGATCTATTGTTTCTCTTCTCATTAAGTTTGTCGATTTTATCAATTTTATTCTGCTGAACATTAAAGTCTGGGCTTCCTGCACACAAAAATATATCCGCCGGAAATTATTTAGTAGTGTTGTGTTTATTTTTGTGATTATAGACAAATAGGATTGTTTTAAATTTTTTTCATCTATCTTCTATATTTTGTTCGCTAGAAATGATTCTCAATTTCTCGTTTACCCCTCTATATCGGACACACCGTTTTTACTTGTAGGGGCGGAAATGTTTACGCCCTCAGAGGTTAACCAATTCTGCTAAGTTATGCACATGAAGGCTGAGTCCTTATTCGCTTTCATCTCCTGTGGTTGATGACCCATTGTCGGGTCTCGCAGCCGCCAACAGCACCTAAATTTATGTCTTCAGTTGTTGCGAACATTGGAGATTTGTACACGGGTTCAGCTTTCTTTATCTATGCAGATCAGCTGTGTGAGCATCTCTCTCCTCTCATGAGCTCTCTCTCATGAGATCGCCTGCACCTTTGTTTTTGCTGTTCACTCTGAAACTAATTCAGTTCTCGCTTTCGTACCTATGAATCATCGCTGCGCTGCGCACCAAATCATTTGAATTCGCAACAAAGTTAAACGTCTTTTATTTTTTCAAAAATAGCTATCAGGGTGACATTTTTACGGCAATATATAGAGTGGAAAGATTAGCTGATTATTTGTGAAGTTCTGCGTTAACTTCGTTTGACTATTCCGTTTAAGTGAGGTTGGAGCTGATCGATGAGATACAAGAAACATGTTTGAAAATTCTGAGCGAGCTTGAGGAACTTGATTTGGAAGAAATTGAATGTGATTTGAGTGTGTGTTTAAATCCCCAGTTCGTGGGGAGATTTCAAAGCACGCCTCGGAAATGCAAACCCATTCAACCTTTGCTGATGGAAATTGTGGCCATCAGCAGCGTACACTCCGGAATAGCCCCTCTTGACCTACCGCAATCCGTTGGGGCTATACTAACTGGCTGGACTTTTATTATATCTTTACGACGAATATAGATAGCCATCCTAACCTCACAAACATAGAAAAGGTACAGCATTTACGATCCTGTCTGAGGGACACCACTTTAGAAATTTCGGAGGGTAACTGTGCTATAGCTTTTATTTTAGTTTTTTAGACGCATGTAACTGAGATTCTGGGGCTAAGGTCAGATAAGACTCGTTCCGTTTCAACGACTAAATGCTGGATGCATTATCGTCCAAGTACTTGTCCGATAGCTGGATCATTTGGA